ATGGATCAGGACAAAAAGAGAGAGAATCTCTTTACACAGAGGGGACACATGTTTATGTATAAAATACATGAAAAATGGATGTTGCATGATAGGTCCCCTTTAATATCATTATGCAAGGATGCACAACAGGAATCTAATTTTGCAATTGTTATGTTTGTTCACCGCACATCTGGAAGAAATTGTTTCATAATTTGCACCCAAGTTCCCTCCAAACACTGCAGGCAATTGCCCAGAGGTAAATATACAAAAAAAGCTATTTTCATTTAGCCTTAGATGTAGGTTTTGCTGGGAAAAACAATATTTTAATCTTTCACAGATTAAAGGACTTTTCAAAGCAATTCTCTCAGTTCAGATAAACATGTCTCAACTTGAATAAACTCATACGAGAGAACCGTTTCACATTATCACGATACCTACTACTCAACATTACCCATGGGCCTCTGCAGCACTACACTGCATGTCAGTAGCCTTTAGCCTTCACTGTGAATGTTCAACAGAGACTGAAGCTAATCTGTGTTACTACAAAGTGCTAGCTGAAATTCGACGCAAACTGCTTTCAACGGTGGTTTACTCTGTCTGCAAGTTACACATTTACAATGCTATGAATCATACTTACAGACATGTTGAATGCAAGATGAGAACATAATTGTCATCACTTTTTGAACTTCTCACAACAGAGACTTTTTGGCAACAGCCCTCGTTTATTCATATAGACAGTAGAGGCAAACAATCTCAACAAGTTTAAAATAGTCATTTATTTAAACCTATAAAAATCCAAGTTTAGATTACTCCACACCAACAGAAATCCAAAGATATGCATGTATTTTCAACTACATTTCCCGAATGCCCATTCCATTGAGAAAGTCATTTATATTGATTGCTTTTCCAGGCATCATTTAATATGATACATATTCACTTGTAAATATCGACCTTTCCCTGCTGCGCCGACATTTGTGCCATAAATACGTGCATGCAAGCTTCATAAATATAGGAAATGTTGCGTTGCTGCATGAGACTGGATTCAAACAGTGGCAGGAGAATGTGCTTTTTGTTTAACACAAGGTAAATGTGGTTAGAGTAACGCAATGTTTGGCAGTTGTGCAACAGAGAAGGAATGATTCAATTCCAAGGCTGCCCTCAAGTAGCATTCAGCATTCAAAGACATACAGCAGGATGGCCACACTTTAATGTGTGTTGCTGAGGCATAACTGTAATTTGGTTGCAACTAATAAGCAATATAAAAATACAAGTTATCTTTCTAGTTTGCTTCAGTGAATGGTCCCTGCAGCAGAAAGCCCATCGCTGCTGATCACACACTGCCCCCTGCTGGAGAGACTTTACTAGAGAGATCTGAAGGAGTTTGTGGTTGTGTGAAAGACTTCCATCGCCAGTGTTGTGACACATTTGTCTTTATTTTTTAGCTTGATTAAATGGCAATGATACAAACCTCAAATCAAACATTATTAAACAGAATACCAAAAGAAAATGGCACAGCTAATAGGAAACAAAATGAAGACAACATACCCACTATACATTTTAAATATGTACAACTTTGATAAATAAACCAATACTGTCTAGAATTATGATTGTTTTGCATTTTTCATAATTTCCCTTGGATTAGTGCGTAGAAGAGCAGAGAGAAGAAGAGAACCAGAAGAGGCAGTGAATGAGGATGATGAGCAGCAGGCACAGATGACAGTAGACAAGAGTAGAAAAGACAACCGACTGTGATGCAAATTTGTACCTCCACGCAGTTGAGTTTGCCATTCGACAAAATGACTGCTTCAGCATGACCATACGCCATCCTGACCTCCATCTTTTGGTTCAGCGCAGTACATTCCTCACACCTAGCAGTTTTGTATTGTTTCACATCACAATTTGGATCCTGAGTCGGGACAGCCCATTCGTTTCCAGGCATAGCTTTTATTGAACCACATGTTTATTTGTGCCGCGTTAAAGCCTCTATAACAATATGTCATATATTATGTCTTATACATAAACAACCTGAAGCACAGTTTTGTACAAAGATCAATGAGGTCTGGCTGAGAGATGAAAATGCATGTGATTTGTTTTACCCTTGAATAGGTAACTCTACGAAGAAAATCAATATTAAAACGCAGGAAATAAAGATTTCATTCTGTCTAATGGGGGAAGAAACTGTCGCTAACCAGCAGCTTTTCTTGTGACGTTTCATCTAGATCAACAGGCCCCATGCAGCAGTAACTTTACTAACAATGAAATGAAGTTGTGTGTATTAAGACAAAATAATATAAAAATGTATGGGAAGTGAAATTGAAAAATAGGGCCACCATTTCTAATTTCCAGACAACCTCAAAAAGAAGCCCAGGGTGATAAAGAGTCGTCCCTTTAAAAGACACTGATCCTCAGGATGCTTCTCCAGGACTTTCAGGAAATGAAGAACATGAGCCAGACACAACTCTGCGAGCCCGTCCAGACACCCTCACCTGCAGCGTACCACAATGCAGCTTCACATTTACAAAAACAGTTCAGTCCGGGACACAGATGAGGCTTTCATTCCTCAAATGGCTGTCGTGAACAGGCTCCATGTCGCGTGGAACGTTTCAGAACATAACAATCTCCTGAGTGGCAACTTTTTTACGTTTTCTTTTTTTGTAAGTATAAAATCACTAACAGTTGGCAAATCATACCCTCCCGCCCTTCCTCCCACACCCGCCCCCCTGCAGTTTCGGTTGCCTTTTTCTTAACAAAAGTAAAACAAAAAGAGGAATCGACATTTAAAGCTGTAAAAATACACGTATTACTGTAACATTAAAGGGGACCTATCATGCAAAATGCACCTTTGTACGTCTTTTATACATGAATATGTGTCCCCGGTGTGTCAGGGAACTCACCAAGTGTCAGAAAACACAACCCTCTCTCTTTTCCTCCATACCCAAATCTCTAAAAACGGGGCTGCAACGGATCTGATACAGACTGATACAGATTTGAAAATAGTCTGACGTCAGAAACGGGGTGCTCCGCCTATATGGGCAACTCTCCACCTATCAGGGGAATGAGAGGTTGCCGTGGCATGGTAACCGCATGGTAACATGACGCTCGTGCCTAGCCCCCCTCCTTTGCAGGGGGGCGTGGTCAGCTGCAGCTCATTTGCCACAGAATCAGCCCTTGCAAAAACAGGGCTGGAAAAGAGCAAATAGAGCGAAATGAGGCATGGCTAAAATGCATGATCTGTTTGGTATTTTGAAAAAAAAACTTTTATATAGGTATGGCCCTACAATATATTATTCAAATATAGCATGATAGGTCCACTTTAAAGCACGTCAGAAAAGGTATTCACTTCTCTTTCAGGAAGCGAGGAATATTTTGGTTGGAGTGCCACACGGTCAGACCTGCTGAGTTTAAAAGATGTGTGCTACGGGGGGCTGCATGAGTGTATGCATGTTGTGTACAGTATGTGTGCAACAATGTACATGGGATTTATGTTGTTTGTTATTTAAGCATCTTCGAAGGGGGTTTGCTGTCTTAAACAGCAAGATTTCCTTTCAGCTTCATACACAGAGAGCACAAACAAAGCTGAGAGAGGAGGTTAGAGGAGGTTAACAGACACTTTGGCCCCGACTCTTATCTAGAAACCCCAGCATGCTTCCTGTTTTTCTGGCCTGTAGAGTCCCAAGTCCTAGAGAAATCCCCTGCAGAGTTCTAAGGCAGACCTAAACCGCGGCCTCTGCAACCCCCCCAGACAGGGCGGGCAGATACCCGGACCCCTTGCTCTGTCAAGTGCAACATCTGGAGCGCAGGGCAGCTCTAGTGCCTCTTCATGGACGACACCTTCTTCTTCCTGGCTGCCAGCATCTCGTAAAAGGGATCCCTGCTGATGGCAGCTCTGTAGAAACACGCAGAGGGGGGGGGGGGGGGGTCAGTGTTCCTGCGCTTTCAAAGTACTGGAATGTCAGACATTTGCATGCAGGTAGGGCTCAATTTACAATGATACTAAGAATGTATGTGTGGTGAAATTAGATTATACATCTAACATCTGCAATACACAAGTTTATCATATTTCAACATTATCAGGAATTTTATTTCCCTTCAGACATTATGGTTCCTGTAGCAAAGACCTTAGAGCCTGATTACTCCAAGTTCAAAGAAACACAGAAATAGGATCGAGTGAACCGCACGTGTAGGTGACACACATGCACTTCATAATGCCAGGCCTTTCAGAAGAGAAGGAAACATGTTTTACTTGATGCTGTTCATCCATTCGTCTTTTTCCTCAGTCGTGGGGGCGGAGATACGGTAGAAGGTATGGTTGCCCTCGACTACGCGTCCGTCAGCCTCAGTCTTGCAGGCTTTTATCACCTGGTCCTTGTTGTCAGGGATGAAAAGCTCAAAGCAGTTCTACAGAAGAGGAGAAGATGGAGGTTAGATAATATAGAAAACATAATGCATAGATATAAATAACTGTATTTATCAACAAATTCTATAAACTAAAACCTAATTTACCTAGTTATATTTAGGTACATTATCCATATTAAGAAATCCCTCTATGGTATTTTGTATATATAATGTTGTGAGGGCCTTACTCCCAGTACAATTGTTTGTCAATAAGGAAATAAACTACCCGTCAAGATGTAATTGTCAATTAAATGTATTATGTTTGATTTTTTTTTTATGCAAATATCACATATATTTTATATATAATATTTTAACTTCCTAAAAGGGCAGCACCGAAGAAAATCCTTCTTTATTGTCCATTTAGGAAATGGGTGGAAGTAAGATTTCCAAGTACCAGTTCTTACTGTGTGAAATTAAATACATGACCAGTAGAGGGAGCTGTACTTACAGGCTTCTTGTCCTCCACCTCCTTGATGCTCAGGTTCTCCAGGGGGATTATTCCTCTGGGCTCTTTGTCCTGGACAAACAGAAACTCTGAGTGAGAGAGCTGCACACGGGAACAACAAGAACAGAGGGAGCACAGTCTTCACGGTGACTGAGAAACTGATTGTACTCACTGTGGTGTACTCAAAGTAGTACAGGCAGTTATCTGTGAGGATGAACCACCTTCTCTTCCAGGTTTTAACACGTCCCCCTGTGGAGCAAACAGCCAGCGTCAGAGAGGCTCAACAAGAGAGAGAGAGAGAAACGAGCACCGAAGCACCGGGTCGAGCAGCAGACAGGCAGACAGATGTATGGCAGACAGACAGATGACGGCTACAGAGGACTCCTTTTACCCACTATAGCGATTCACCCTCTTCCACCATCACCAGTTACTTTGTTATTTTTTCTTGACTTTATCCTTTCCCCTAATGCTCTACGATGAAGCTACGTCTCCACAAATGTATTGGTGTGTCTGGGAACTGTGCTAACTCGGCCCTGTTTCTCTTTCATTAATAGCTGGCTGAGGAATGAGTGTGGAAAGCTAGGATCAATAGACAGGATACAGATCCATTTGCACTGCACTCACTGACCTTAATGAACTACTGTCCAAATGAAGTAACTAGGAGCCAGGTATACATGTGGAGAGCAAGAACTCAAATGACTGCCAGAGGGCTGAATGAGGAAAGTAAGGAGTGACTTAAGATTAACTTCTCTTTCACACCCAGTGGGGGGCTCTCTGGTTAACTCTGCACCCCCTGATCTGTAGCTGACCTCTGACCCCTTTTGTCACCCATACTTCCTGCGAGGGGAAACCTGATCAGAGGAGCAGATGGCACTCTCTCTGGGAGGATGGGATGCCAACAAACAGAGGCTCATTGAGCTCTGCGCCTGCAGCTATGCTCAGCTTCTCTACAGGCATCTCAGACTAGAATTTCCTGTTTTGGCTTTGTTAAATAACTTCTCAGTCTTATAGTAGCAGTGTCCGGTGAGTAGGGGGGGGGGCTTTGTTAAATAACTTCTAAGTCTTATAGTAGCAGTGTCCGGTGAGTAGGGGGGGGGGGCACTCGATATCTTTCTGAACTCGATATAAAGACCTAAGCCTTGTCTATCCCACCACCAATGTTAGTAAAAAGCTGCATTGTGAAACCCATCTACCCGGATAAAGGAGGCTTAGAGGATGTTTGTATACATGTAGAACACACACATTTGATCATATAGCAGCAGTGGCACTGTATATGATACCCCATCAAATCACAGACGTCATGACAGGGCAAACACTTCAGTCTATGCTTGTTATAATTTACAGACACCATCGACACACGCTTCACTCGACAGGCAGAGATGGAGAGCCCTGTCGCCACATCTCCACTTGTCAGCGCGATGCCAAGGAAAAAGCAGACAAACAGAAAAAACAGACGCGATGGCAGAATCACACAGCCGACGGCCTGAGCTGATTGGTTCAGTCGGAGGCTGAGATCGGTTTCATGGTCATGTCAGCTCCTGTAGCTCCCATAAGAGACAACTCCCCTGCAAGAATGTCTGTGACGAGGCGGGACGTCCCAGCAGATTGTTGCAGGGGCATGTTGCCGGAGTGGAGCGGGGGGGGGCACCCATGCAAGACCGGACTGTGAGAGGCTGGGCGAGTAGAGGGTAGGTGGGAACAGGGTCTCTTTTAAAACATATCTAGATTTTCTGATTCAGTTGAAAAAGATTATTCTCAAAAGGACAAATTAGAAACTGGTTTGCTTCTCATGTCATTTCACTTCTTGTTTTTGTAAAACAAGGATGCAAATGTAGTTATGAGAGGAAACATTCATTACTTACAAGAATGCACAACCAAACCTCTTAACTATGTAGATGTTATGTGTATGGGCAAGCAATCCTGAATAAATCCCTTTCAGCCCGCTCCTCTGCCCACGCTTCTCTCCCACAGTTTGGTCCAGTCCAGCGCCACACCGGTCCCCACGGTTACCCTTCAGATCCATTGAATCATAAGATAAGGAGAGCAGAGCCACACGGTCGAAACTGTGCATTATTCCCTTTCCATGCCACCAGAGAGCAAACAACAATAAGCCAATGAGTAACTGGGTTCATGGTGAATTTGGAGAGTCAAGCGAAACTCCTTTGTTGTGCTCACTGTACGGCAAAAAGGCATAATGCAGCTTTCAAAATAAACACAGATCAAAGAGTGACCACCACAGCATACAGAGAAAAGAGAGGCAAACTGGTCACAAAGCCTCTGCTCCCCGAGCCGAGCCCATGGTGTGGCGAATGAACCCGGTGAGTGCCCAGCAACCACCCACAGAGATTAAAGAGTGTGGACGGACCACCTATGACAGACTACACAGACATACATCTGAAGATCAAATGAGTCAATGGAGACACAAAAATAAATTTAAAAAATCTGCGGCCCGGCCTGAACATTTACAAAACATGAGAAAATAGAACAAAAGCATGGCGGACCACCAAAAAGCACCCGAGAGCTGAGAGATGGACTAGCGTTTGGGAAGAGCAGGTGTACATACCTCCTGAGGAAAGACAACAGCCAAACACATGGACACAAACAAACGGAGAGGAAAACAAAACAAAATAAATCAAATTAAATGATAAGGAATTATTGCACCACAGTCCTGTTGATCTGGTTCCAGGGAGGCTTTGATGCACTGCTTTACAGCTTCCTTTTTGAGGGTCAACAGATTTTACATATCTGTTGTTGTATCAGCCCACAAGGGGGAGTTGTACTCAATGCCACAGCTACTGTAAAGCACTACATTAAATATCGCCTCCACTTGGCTCCATGTTTGTTATATCCAGTCATTTACCCCTGATTGTTTTATTAAAAACTGACAATTCGGAGAGAGAGTAATTCTTCACTTTCTAGTTTAGGTCCATTGTAAAGATTCAATTGCATGTTGAACATTCATGCGCTCTTTAATTAAATGAATTGTGAATCTGTACAACAGAGAGAGATCTCAGAGGAAACAGAGGATGAAGAGTTCAGGGGTCCAGGGTTGTGCTTTTCTTTTTGTAGAAGTATTGTGACCAGTGAAAGTAACATCAGACATCCTGTGAAACATTTGTAACAATGCAGGTGTATGTATTAGCTCAATGGTGTCCAAAACTATGTTTAAGTCAAAACAAATTCAAATGGTCAGGACAAAAATACCCATCAAACCGCACAAACACTTTTAAACTCTAATAAGGATAAGAAAAAATAATTAGAATCATTCAAATTCATTTAATTATTAAAAATAATAACAATTCAAAATAATGCTTGAGGAGGGTTTCCACTATGGTACAAATCTGAATTAAAATGTCTGCAGTAAAAAGCTAAAACACATCACAAAAAATGTCCTAACATAACAGTTGTCATTGTGCTTGTGTGTGTACGTCAGTGTATGAAAATGCCCTGTGGTAAATAATGCAAAGGCCTCCACATGTGGTTGTCTGATCTCAAAGCCATATTCATAACGCATGAAAGCGGGCAGAGATGTTTTCAGATGTCTCAGGTCGAGTGTCTACCAGCTCATACACACACAAGGTAAACATTGATTATCACTTTGTGCAATATGAGCCTTTATGAAAACACAACGTAATCATTCTGCGCAGACACATACATGAGAACACCATTATCTTGGCAATACATTGTGTAGCCAAATAAATGTGCACGTGTATTTCCAGTTTCACTCACCCAGTTTTAGCAGCCAGCCCTCTCTGTCTGGGTTGAAGAAAGTGTGTGTGAGGTCGTTTCCGTCGTCCTCTGGGATTTTGAAAGGCTCATTCTTGATGCTATCATACAGATTCTACAACACAGGGAGTGGAGTATAAACACAGAGCTTGTGGAAGAATCATTCACAATATCTGTGTGTTACAGCCATACTGACCCTGAGCAGGTCTTCGGGTAAGTCTCCTCCTTCGTTGATTCCTCTGTTCATGGAGATGAATCGTTCCACAGCCGGCTTGTCCTTCACGTTCGGGTTGTGGAGGCTGGTGTTTAGCATGATGATGGCAAATGACAAGATGTAACAGGTGTCTGTAACACACACACACACACACACACACACACACACACACACACACACACACACACACACACACACACACACACACACACACACACACACACACACACACACACACACACACACACACACCACACACACACACACACACACACACACACACACACACACACACACACACACACACACACACACACACACACACACACACACACACACCACACACACACACAACACACACACACACACACACACACACACACACACACACACACACCACACACACACCACACACACACACCCACACACACACACACACACACACACACACACACACACCCACACACACACACACACACACACACACACCACACACACCACACACACACACACACACACACACACACACACACACACACACACACACACACACACACACACACACACCACACACACACACACACACACACACACACACACACACACACACACACAATTATAAGAGAGAGATGAGCAAACGGTTGCTATTTACCATAAAACTGCAGCCAATGTCTAATTTAATGTCTAATGTTTAAATATAAATATAAATTAGCCGAGCTGAAAGGACTGCACTTAGGGGACCACAGTGGAACATAGAGGAGCGGATAGGCGAAGCTTCGTTAGCGGGGAGTGAGAGGCTGTTAAGTATGCATGTGTGTTTCTGGACGTGCACTCTAATGTGTGTGTTTACTAAAAGTCAACGAGGCCAGCACAAGGCTGATGCAGCAGTAGCACTTAATCGGCCTGTTAGGTTGTTGAGGAGCATGTATTATTCACATCCATCTGCATCCATGTTAGAGGCAGGCTCCTGTCTGATATGGACATTATTTCCCAAAAGCCAGATGCTGCTGTAGAGCACAGCTCACCTCAGCAGACGTTGTGTCTGCTGAGGTGAGCACTTTAGATATCAGTTCCGTCGACATGCCATTAGATCTCAATGCTTTATGGAAAAATGAAGTGCTTCAGGGAGGAAACAAGTGTATCTGCTTTAAGAAAAATAAGTGTTTTAATAGGTTATTATTAATATTGCTGATGGCTATATCTTAGAATAAATAACCTAAATCTGAATACATTATGTTGTTTGTTTCACTGCCCACACATCCATAGCTCTTTGGATTTTCATGACAGCACTGAAAGCTTGTCTTCATGGCGTGACGCTGTACCTGTGGACTGGAAAACGCCAGGGTTGCATTTGCAGTAGCGCTGAGCGAAAGACTCCATCATGCGATCGATCTTCTGAGCTTCTCCCGGTAGCCGAAAACTCCACAGGAACTGTCTGTCAGGGGACACAGTCAGCATTCAGCAACACTCACTTCCACTGTGAAAAGGCTGAAATAGCTCTCATGAAGGAACAACACTGAAAATCACAGATGTGAGGGATGTACGTTTCTTGGGAGATGATGTCTTACCTGAGGGCCTGAACCAGGTTCAGGTCTGTGAACTCATGAAGCTCCACAAAGGCATGAAGGACTTCCAGATTGAAGTCATCTCTACAGGGACAAAAACAAAAGCAGAGCAAATTGTATCACTGGTTAACATTTAACATGGCTTTTTCGGCATAACCAAGAAACACAAATACAGAAGATTAAATATCAAATGCAAAGATTTTTTTATAATTGCCAGTAAAATCGAAATCATATAGCTACAACACTATCTAAGATATTGCAGTATTAAAATCGGAGATAATATGCGTCTGGCAATGCGCAATATTTATTTTGTTCAACCCCCAACACCAAGTCCGACGATTTATTTCTCAGCCGCTCGTCTCCGCAAGATGGCGTCGCGTGACGTCAGAGTGGCCAAACATATTTCCACCTGGCTTATCGCTCACAGCTGCTTCCGCCGATAGTACAACTTAGTTTCGTTATCATGTCTGATTCTGAGTAGACTATAGACTAAAAGCTTTAGGAATCCAAACTATAACATATAATAAGTACCCTGTATCAAGATTGATGCAAAACAAGTGAAATTTGACCTTTTTAGAGAGGTTTAGAAAAATAAAGTCCAGGCGACCTCTGGGTAATTTGGGAACCATCAGTTCCATTTGAACTTTTTCACTGTAAAAATCATTTTATTACTTTGAATTATCACTATAGGTATTCATTCCATCCAAATACAACTGTTGTGAAAAAAAAATAAAACATACTCTGTTATCCTCTTAGCCCCACGGACCCGAAATCGCGTCATTTGCAGGAAACGACGTCTAAGGAACCTTAATATTTAATAAACTATGAATATTTATATATCCATATATCGGGAAAAAACTCATTTAACTGATCTTTTTCATTTATTTAAAAAAAACAAAACACAATGCCTCTGAATTAGCCCCGAGCGAAAAATGCTAACCTATTACTGCACCGAAAATCACTCCTAGCTCCCTTATTACTTATCCTAGCTCCACATCCAACACATTGTTTATGATCGTAAAGACACATAATCTAACGGTGCCCACCTCAACACTGAAAGATACAAACTCGCGAGGTTATCAACAAAAACGTACATCAAAACAAATGGCGCTAGGTACTAACATGAGCTAGGCTTACCTTCCTCTTTGTCTGGTCTAAAATGGCATTAAAACGATAAAAACGATGAAGTAGTTAATCCATAGGTTAATATCCAATGGGGCTGTGTCCCCTTTGAAATGTTCTGATAATCTATAAGCAATAAAACTGCAATTCCGTTATCTGCTGTCCGCTCTGTGCTCCGTGCGCTCTGAAATCAAATCAAAATGTGTTTACCGCAATTCTTTGGCGTTTCTGCATTGCCCGGCTCTTTCGTTCTTTCGGTTGTTTTTTGTGCTCAAATATGGAGGGAACGGCTCCGGGTTTCAGCCTCCGATGTACTTTAAATGCTTCTCCACCAACAGACTTGACGATGGCAGGATCAACATCGTATGCATCAGACGCGAAGTGGTCAGAGCACAACTTGCTCCATTTTGTCGGCTGCCAGCCAACACGATTCACTAAAATAATCCAGTTTCGGCAGATGATTTTGTCTTGGGGAAATTAATGAAAAATTCTCCCAGATCCCGCACCGTTCGTACATCCGAAAGCACAACAATAACCCATGTTTTGCGTGATTTCGCGGATATAATTCAGAGTTTTCTGCACCAGTCATGAGCGAAAAACACCGCTGACATGTGAACAGCGCACGAGACTGCCGAGTCGGGATATTTAGCCCAGAGACTGTTTGGCCACAATGACGTCACGCGCGCGGAGGCTGCTGGGAATGACATGTCAGAAATGTACGGCTTTGGGTCGAGTTTTGTATCAATAAAAAGCTTTTTTTCGGGTGTATTCTCTCGATTTAAATTAAATAAAAAATACAGGCAGTCTTAAAAACAAAATTTCTATAAAAATGTAGCATATTTGGAAGCTTTGCATTTGACCTTTAATGTATGGTCTCAGAACAGTCTCATAATACACACATACACACAGAAGGATTCACACTTGTATTTCATGATCCGCATAAGGATCCACACTTGTGTTTTTCAATGCACACACAAATGTATTCCGTTTCATATAAATGTAAATAAAAGTCCAAATACAGAAAAAAGTTTTACATGTGTATTTTTGATCCTCACATATTTGTTTTCCGTTTAAATCCCCTGCACCTGCAAACACAAACCGCTTTCTGTGCACAGATCGCTTTGCATTCGTGTGTGGGTTTTTTGAGACTCCCCTGACGGTCAGCCGATTCGTACTTGTAATTATTTCTATCTATAGCCAATCAGATGTCTCCTCAATTCTAAGCCAATCACATGAGCGCGCCCCCACGAGGGTAGATTTCTTGCGTTCATGACGTAGCGCTTCATGTACGCATTTTGCGCAGTCCGGAGCTGACAGGTCCATGGAGCCTGCCTGCAGGCGCTAATCTCAGGACACCCTCCACTCTCAATACAGCGCCACTTTCCGAACAGGAAATGCACGCAAATACAAGCCTAAAGTTATATTATTAAGGTACAGCGCCACTTTCCAAACCATTGATGAATGCTTGTGTACACAAAAACGGCAGGCAAAACCGTTTTAAATGTGTTTTTCCTGTATGGCGAATACAGCTGCTTTATTTATGTCTGTATGAAGTTGTTGTGAGTGTGGAGGGAGCAGCTACAGGTTAGCTAAGCCTAATCGATCAGTACACTACGAAGCCAGTGTTAGACAGTGACCTCGGGGGGGAGCCCCGCCGGTCATTATCGGCCGATATTCACTCTTAATAGTTTGATCGGTGCTCTCTATAAAGGCCGATCAGGAGAGCTGGATCTGATCGATATGGACATAAACGCGAGTGAAGTATAACCGGACGCGAGAGAGAGATCAGATCAGCTGCTGAGTCTGATGGAGACACGCTGCTCTGCATGATCACCTGATGCTCCGCCCTCTGTTTAGCGAGCTGACCGGACTGCGCAAAATGCGTATATGAAGTAATCTTACCCTCGTGGGGGTGCGCTCATGTGATTGGCTTAGAATGAAGGAGACATCTGATTGGCTATAGATAGAAAAAATTACAAGTACGAATCGGCTGACCGTCAGGGGAGTCTCATAAAACCCACACACGAATGCAAAGCGATCCGTGCACAGAAAGCTGTTTGTGTTTGCAGGTTCAGGGGATTTAAACAGGAAACTAATATGATATTTTTTTTTTAAATCCTCTGGAGCAGAGATGCATCAGTGTTTCTTAGGGTCAAAAACACTAAACTCACAACTTAAAATGAAAGTGTTTAGTTTATTTAATAAAAGAGCACATGTTCAATGTGAAAAGTGACAGTAGTTATAGATTATTTGCAATTTGGTGCTATATATATATATATTTTTTTTTTATAAACACCTTGAACTTCAGGGGGGGCGCGGGGCTCCGTTGGCGGGGTGCAGCGCCCCTCCAAGACAATGGTAGGGGAAACACTAGACTCTCATACTAAAGGCTTGAGGTCTGTTGTATTCTGCATTATTCCATCAAATATAATAGGAAAGGGAAAACACCCGCCACCTCCCTCTCATTTATCATCTAATCTCGATCATGACTTCATGCCTGACCTTCAGGCCCTTCAGAGTAAATGATCTTCCCTGTGGGATCATGGGAAGGCTCTGAGGAGCTCTCGCTGACAGAGTCTTATCCAGCCACTACTGTTCCCAGTGGACGAGTGATCAATCGTGTCTCAAGGCTCTCACGCCGTTTCAGCCTCTCTTTGTAGAATCAGAAACACTTGGAGAGGTGATAACAATCATACTTAGAGCGTCCATCTACAGCCTGAGCTCCATTTCCTGGTCTGACCTCAGAGACCACACCCTGACTGTAACTCTGCCAGCCCTGTAGTCCCTGAGCAGCGTGTGCTGGCCATAACTGTTATGTTTTCACTCCAACAGGGACGGTCTGGAGTGTCTTTCAACACGTGCGTTGTCAAGTTTCTTTATCGTGTTATATGAATGAGTAAGATAATCAAAGACAGATGGAGTAACAAACATCTCGAGGATAAATGTGGTTCCAGTAAACTGGAAAGGAAGGGTGTGTTCCTGACCAAGAGGAAACACAGCAAGACGGAAAATATGCACTCGCCATTCAAGGCTTTTATCAACCACATGGATGGGTGCTGGTGAGTCATGATAGAGTGTGAGTGGAAGATGGTTAGATAGTGGAAAATAAAGATCAGTCTTCATCCTCACCTCTCTCCGAGATAATCTCCGATGGCTGTTTTGTTGAGGCCCTCGCCTTTGTAGAGGAATTGAGCAATGTCGTCGCTGGTGTTCTTCAGCAAGTCGTTCTCAATCAGGAACTGGATCCCCTGAGAAAGAGAGAGGGCCCCCAGGTTACTTCCTGTTCATCAGAGCATGTGGAACCAAATCACATTTCGGAAGAATCCCGACAGTTTCTTCAACCTACCTTTTTGGGGTCCATGTTGAATTTCTTACGGCCCATGGCCACCTGTTTATTCCTCTGCATATTTTTCCTGGAACACAAGAGTGTAGGTTGTTTGTAGGTTAGTTTGTAGGTTGTTTTTAAGTTCGACTTTATGTTGTATACAAACAAACTCTGGTATATAGGAAGGGCTTCAAACTAAACTACTTTAATTATCAATAATTCTGAAATATCACCTTGTTGGAAACTACACCAAACCAACCAAAACCCAAATATATTCAATACAATACCACAGAAGGTCTAAGACAATGTTCTTGTTTGAGAAGTTAAATCTAGTGATTTCTGGTCATTTAAAAAAAAAAAAGAACCATTACCCTGAGCGGAATACATTTAGATCTTTTGGTATGCGAATCCAACAAATGGATTTCACAAGGCTCGGCCAGTAACACTAAATGTATTTGCTTCACTTCCTAAAAGTGTCTTTCAAATAAACATTTTTCATTTGTTTGGCGGAGACTGGCCTGTCCTCCCACTCCATTGTGATGACAAAGCCTTGATAAAGGCGTTTAACATCATGCATATGGGAACGTCTCATTTCCCATGCCTGGAGTAATTCAGGGGTCAAAGTACACTCAAAGAGTCCGCTGTTACCATGGTTACATCTCCATCTCCAGCCGGTGAGAGGTCGCCACTTCTTCTTCCCACTGATTCACTCACAGCAGCATTCCTTGGGCTATATACTGCCAAAGTCTGACATTCAACTGAACAGAGGCAACCCAGACTACAATGCACTTCCTTCAAAAATGGATTGAAGGAAACTTTGATCGTAAGAAAGTGCAGTAAACCTTAATGGGTTTTATATCCAAGAAAGATAATTCGGTAGTTGATGGGATCCCTATCCACTTGAGTAGTCCAAACATCAAGCCTCCCTCCCCTGGGACGGTCCATTGTCTGCCTCTGCCCGTACACCCACTGCATTATTCACTGAGGCCTCTCATAATGGGGGTGCGCCTGATGAAACATTAAAACTGCCTTAAAAGCAGCATTGCCAATTTTTGGAGCCATTTTGGTGTGACCAGATCACCAGACCTGCCCATCAAACATTCATAGCTTCATTTGCTAAGTTAATAGAAGGCAAACAACAAGCCAATATAGGCGACACAGAGGGAGATTGTGTGCGAAGGGGGGAGGGGGGGAGAAGGGGCGGACCCTTTTATTCTTACCTCTCCTCAGTGGAACCCAGGTTCTCGATCTCACTTGTCACTTCTGCTATCTCATCCTTCAGCCGCTGCAGAGAAGAGAAAACAACTTTAGACTTAAAATGTCATTCATCATGTGCCAGCTAATTTCCCTGACCCAGGAGAAGTGTGTGACAAACACAAACAACATGCAAAGTATTTGTCTGTCTCTATTAAACAGTGCCGAGGGAGAGGCCATCATCTCTGAATCACCTGTTTGTCTATAAGCCAGGTGGCCTTTGAACACATCCGGCCTTTTATCTCATAAACACTCACATCGGAAACCATCAGCTCAACAAAGAGAGCATCTTAGGCTCCTGATGAGCTGAAGCATCACACACTGGTGCCCTGCCAGCTCTCCTTAGTTCTCTTAAACAAAAAGCTGATATCAACTGTCTACAGTTAATCTCATTTAGACACACGTGTTTGCGTGTGTGCGCTCTCTCCAAGCAATCCTCTCATCGGGGATTCGATTAGGCAGAAAACATTCAGGGATAACCGCAATACAAATGGAGTGAGATGGCGTAAAAATGGATTGTATTTTGTGTAGCGTTTTAGAGATTAATGGTCTCAGGTTTAGTCGATCAGGCCAGGACGGCTGGTGCCAGGCTGCCGCAGGGTGATGTCAGCTTGATGAAAGTGTGGAATAATAGACTGTAGCATGAGAGGAGTCCTGTATACAGATAGAGCTTACCCTTTATCAAGAGAGGCTGCGACTAAAAGGTTACAATCATGGAGCCTCCCCATTCAAATCCAGCTGCGGCATTAGTTTATAATTCCTCATCCATAATACCAACTCACCATAGGCCAAACCACAAAGGGAACATCTGTGTTTTGAAGGCCTGCGCAATTCTAACACATTCCTCAGATGCTTGCCTCCACAAACAAAGGCTGTGCTCATACGGGAAAGTGGGTGTTTGTGTTCGGGGGGGCCTTGACATGTGGGAGTCCAGGAGGAGGAGAAGAGGGGTCAGTGTGCAGACTACAAGGAATGAGAGGAGAGGAAAGGAGAGCAGTGGTGGCCAGAGAGGGTGGGAGGGGCAGGGATGGGGGCTCATAAAAGAGAGGGTGTCGGATCATGCCTGTAGTGTTTGTCGGTCAGGGCCAGGGGAAGGTGAGGGGGCCACCGGGACGTCTGGAGGCCAACTCTACTCAGCAGGACGTTACGGTCACCCCTGAGTATCCATTGCTTACAGAGCTGGTTACTGAGTGACAGGTCTGATCTGAGCAGCTCGCTTCAACAAGCAGCTCTTCTCCGAGGCAGGATCAAAATATTATCTCAGGCCGAGGCCAGGAATCAAACAAACCACTTTAGGGAAATTCGGCCAAGCTGCTTTGAATCCTGGCTCTCTTTGGAAATAGGAAAGTACACGAAGGATATTTGACTGGCTGCATGAGCATGTTCCTATTGAGAGCCTGATCCCTTTTTCATCTGTGTGTTTATCTTGTTTTTTATTCAAAAACACATTTCAATGAAAACATCACAAAGAGATAGCTTGTATCCATAAAAAGAGGTATTTGTTTACACGGTGCATCCATAAAAACACAAACGGCTAAACAGTAAGAAATGGTTAGCTAAGGAAGTGAGCCCTTGGCAGGAAATACCTCACATTCCACTCGGGTTGAAATGTTTTAAATGGATTCCTTGCAAAAGGAACATTTGTACAACTGGCTGGAAGATAAATGTTTAACCAAAAACAGAGGAGTCCCAGTTGTATCTGAAGGCAGTGGAAGGATGCCAAATGTCTGGACATTGTTAGCTTGAAAATGAAATCCCCTTTCCCCTTGAGCCCCTAAATCTCAAGACTGGTCCTTTTGATGGGCGGTTGACTGAATTATTCTATTAAGATTATACCAACTGTGATATTAAGTGATATTTAGTCCAATCAGATTAAGTATTTTCAGCCAACTTGAATAGTATTTGTTGTCGTGACACTTTTTTGTACTGAGACAAGTAAATGTATATCTGAACAATACACCTAACGAGAGTAAAAAGGCTTAAGGTTAACATTTTCTGCAGTCAAACCAGAGCTCATGAGTTGTAAGCCCATTTACTGTTTCAGAGCAATTTGTGCACATAATCATAACAAAACCCCCAGTATGTTATTCCAGTATTACCTGAATGTCCTCCAGCAGCTCCTGCTTGCGCCGGCGGATATTCTCCAGCTCCTGCTGCTCCTCGGGGGTGAGGTCGTCCGGCACTGGGGAGGGAGGAGAGAGGATGAAGGGTTAGGACAGTCGCCCAAATATAATGCACCTTCTCTATGCGTATGTGTCTCATGAGGCGTGTCCCTGAGCCTATCTCAGTGCACAGAAATGCTTTATAATTCTCCTTGATATCAGAGGGTGACATGGCAACGTTTGTGGAGTCTGGCTGTTTCAATGATAGCCATATAAGCTGTTCCTCAGCAGTAGCAGATACTGTATCTGTACCTAAGAGGAGAGGAACACTCAGCGTATGAAACATCTACACAGTAAATCAAGTGTTCAGCAGCAAGGTGCACTCTGAAGAGGATCAGACCTTTTAGGTGTGAACTGTCAGACTGAAGGAAACAGCTCAGGTCAGCCAGGCAGCACTGAGCCCCAGAGAAGCACATATGTGACAGGTCTCAGAGCTGCTGTCACTCACACTGTAGGCTGCTATAATAAGCTCTGCTGAGTACTGAGGGGCGAGCACTGTGTCCTGATGGATGGACAACCTGCCCTACTAGCATAAAGCGACACCAGCAGCGTAACTGTAACAGCAATCTAAGCACAACCTCTGCTTTTTTTTTTTATTGTAGCCCTGCGTTTGAAGACATTTCGCCGTACTATTTCAGAATATCAAACTTAAGTCTCTTAAAAAAAGGCGAGAGGACAATGTTAAATTGCAACTCTATGTATTGCTACGAGTATTTGAAATACCTTCAAGCTTGTTTTCACCTGCTGAAGAAATGCATTAATAATCAACTTGTAATAACAATGTTTTTTTTAAAGTTCAACTAAGTTCCTTCCTGCAAAATAATAAAGTCTGCCCCCTCTAAGGTTAGAGAACCAAACCATGTGTTTTTGTAGATACTGCAACATTATTTCACAAAACAAAAGATCCTTAGCGACAAACTCTTTTCAGTGTCTTTTTGACACTGTCATGACTGTCTCTCATTCCCCCAGTTCCTAAGCATGAGCCCCCTCATGTGCCCTCTCATTACCTCACTAGCAGGGTTCAAAGGGTTAAAGGGGTCGAGGCGAAGGTTGACTGTGGATCTCTGCAAACGGTTAACAAGGTAATTGTTATAGAGTAATGAAAGCTGAGTCCAGAGGAATCTTCAACACAGGGTTTCAGATTACTCATCATTTCATAACCTTCTATACCAACGATGACCTGAGAGAAACCTCCCTCTTTCTACAACGTTATCCTTTCCTCTACCGTAGAGTACATCATCCAAATAAAACCACAACGCATCGTTAACATTGACGCAGTGTACCTGCAGTGAGAGGTCAGTGAAATGAAGGGTAAACTCTCAACAAAATCTGGCGCAGCAATCAATAAAACAAGGACGAGGCAAACCATCCGGAAAGTATAAGCTCAGTGTGCTTTGACACAACTTTACAGCAAAACATATCTTTTTTAATTTTCCCTTAAAGAACAATTAATCCAAGCTTAGAATCCTCAATAAAAGTTATCCTAGAGAAAAAAAGATGTGCATAATGGGAAGCAATTATTTGAATAACAGAAGGTATGCTCACCTTAACATATTGAGGCTAATACCCATGACATAAATGGAATGTCTACTTATATTTAACACGGGGATACAGACAAGAGAAGTCCAAAGCAAGAGCCTTAGAGTGGGGCTGATAAGGATCCCCAAAACAAAGCCATGCTGTCTTCCCGTCTTTTTTCAGAGAGCTGGGGGAGCATGGCCGTCCACACGCATATCATACTGTACCTCACAGCCTACACTCTCCCTGGCAAACCAGCCCTAATGTTCATGGTATCCATGGAAACAAAACTGTTCTCACTTACAAATTAAGCTGACATCGGACAAGCACTTGGATGACCTTTGTTTTAGGTTAGACAGTTCCCTCAATTGCAGCTAACGTTGGAGAAGACTTGAATGTTTTCGATACAGACGCACACACACACAGATGCAAAGCCAAGTGCTGACAGGTTTAAGTATGTGTTCTACCAGTATTTATTGACCCTGTCTAAGTTTGACTGGGTCAGTAAATGTCACGCTGAGTAAATGCAGAGCGGGCTGCGAGTTTATCAGAGCGATGGGGAGGACAAGCTTAAAGCAGGCCGTTTTTTCCTTCTTCTGGAAGTACAGTATGATGTCAGGTGGGACGACTGGTGGGACGACTGGTGGATGCAAGGCAAGTTTATTTATATAGCACTTTTCAACACAAGGCAATTCAAAGTGCTTAAATGCAGAAGAAATTGGGAACCAACCAAACCACACCATTCCTGGTTTAAAGTAGGGCCACAAAGTGAAGGAGACAGGACAGAAGAACGTCAGAAAAGGACTATCAATTAAAAGAAACTGAGCAAAGGAACGTTATCATTTGAGGAAACCATCTCTGTCTCAAGAGCACAAACAAGGACCTTCTTCAAATCGGTATCTTAGCCCATGAGCCGGGCAGACTGAGGATGAAGCCTTGGTCCAACCTACCACCCCACATGTCATCTGTTGTCAGCCACACAACCAGACTTACTCAAGCAGCCAATGAGGTACACGTGTCACTGCCTTTCTAACTTCAGCAGAAAGGATCAAGACCACATCAGGGAAAGGAAAGGCCCCACCAACGCATGTTCCTGAGGTGGGCACCAAGTGGGTGTCATTTTCCTGAAACCAGCTGATGAGGGGGGGAGCCCGTCCACGTATGTCAATGCTGCTTGTTTTTCTTCTGTCTGGGAACGCTGCTGGCTGTCATTCTGCCATCCTCTGTACTGGTAATTAGGGCTGTGCGATTATGGCCCAAATCACGATTAATTTGGTCAATAATTGATATCACGATTATAAAAAACGATATCCATTTACTTTAAAAACATCCATTTATTTAAAAAAAAAAATGTGTACAATATGTTTTTAACAGTTGATTACCCTGAACTTTAAGTATAATTCAACTGAAAAATCAATACAAAATATCGTTTTATTTCGATTACATTGTTTTCGTAATTGTTGCAAGCCAAAATCGTAATTGAGATTAAAATACGATTAATTGCACAGCCCTACTGGTAATGTCAATGAAAGACGCCTTCAACAGGACAGACAGGAATTGAAGAGGTATAGAAAGAGTGATGGCTTTAAATCGGTTTCTGTACCACAAATCCAGTGAAAGCTGATCCTCTTTTATCGAGATTAGGATCCATGTATTGACAACTCGGTGAGAGGACGATAAGAGGAAATGTGGCATTTTTACCTTCATGTTTACAAAATGTATCCCTACTCATCCGCTCTGTCTATACGTCAATTTAGGAGCCCCTCTAATCCGAACTGGGGAAAACCTGTATGTGGTGACTTCAACGGTCTGAAAGAGAAACACGGGCCGCCCACATCTTCACTCGGGCTGCTCAGAAAGGTCATTCTAGGAAATCACATGCACACAGAGGCGTGCGTACAAGAAGTTAAGTCGTGCACATAGAACAGGGTACAGTCACATTCACTGATATACATGCATAACACCCACACACACATACACCAACGCCCTGATCAAAACAGTGCTTCTCACCCTGTGCCTGGCAGTGCACAAAACAACTTGCTTTTTGTTCCAACATTCAACAATAACACCATCTGACTGGTACTGTCCGCGCTGATATTCAGAATGAATCCATTACATCAGTGAAAACGTGTTTGGAAAGCACCCATCGTCTGTGTTGGCAAACAAGGTACGGCAATCATAAAAGAAAATGATACTGAAATAACAGCTAAACATTAGGCTTTAAAGAAATGTTATACATTAACTGTCGATTAAAGAACTTCATAACACCAAGGCGGTGTGAAATTATTTGTGTGTCCTTTTGCCAAATCTGGGACAGTATATTGTGAGTGCAGTGTCCCTCATTACTACAGAGTGCTGAATAAAATTAATGTATTACTCATTACACTCATTATGTTCCCTTAAATTCCCTTAAAGTGCACCTATCATGCTATTTTTAGGCAATAGCATAGGTCTCAGATATATGAAAATATATAAAAGAACATGTCTCTGAAGTGTTTTGCTCAAAATACCAAACAGATCACCCATTCTAGCCATGCCTCATATCCCTATTTCACTTCCTGTTTGAAAAGTGCTGATTTTGGGTATAAAGCTTTAAAAAAAAGAAAAAAGAAGAATTGATAAAAAAGAAAAAAGGAGGGGGCTGAGCTCATGCGGGACCCGGCAGCTACTGTCTGAACTAAATACTGCCGTGATGAAACGCCATATCATGGATTATCAAGGATTCTTTCTGAAACAGTCTGGAGCTCAAAGGCTTTCTCTCTTGCCGGTTATACCACAAGGTGAGTTCCTTTTTATTTCCTGCTTCTTCACACACATGCTCTGTGCAGTACAGGTTAGCTCTGAGTGTTAGCGATGCTAATGTAAACATGCAACGACCATATTATGTCCAAAGCAGTCGGGCATTGTTTCTGATAGCAACGTTTCTGATAGGGCCGTGGGTATAAAGCCAGCCTACATTTCCGATATTACGTCATATCGGACGCAAATCTGGATCAGCTCCGTTGTAGCCCCGTTTGTAGAGATTTGGGTACGGAGGAAAAGAGAGAGGGTTTTATTTTCTGACGCTGCGTGAGTTCCCTGACACACCGGGGACACATTCATGTATAAAAGACATCAAAAAGTGCATTTTGCATGATAGGTCCCCTTGAAGTTGGCCATCCCTTACTAAAACATTTTGTTTTACACAAACTGTTCGCGCGAAACATCATGTTTTACCGTTGCTAAATCCCTAAGGCGCTTTATTTAAAAAAACATTCAACCGTTTGACCGGGTATGTCCTTATTTTTGGCTTCTAAGCATCTGCAGAGTTCCTAGATTGGCAAAGTCGTTTTTAGTGAGGGCTGGGTCAGCGGAGAGCACCAGGGAGCTGACATCAAGGGAGTTACCAATTATAGCTCCCTCTCCCACAGCGGCGGAGCCCACTAATACACATCCTGATTTCCATCAAGGCAGAAGAGGCAGACGTCTCATTTCCACCCAGATCACTGAAGAACTCTCCTTG